CAAGGAGGACCAGTTCCAGCTCAGCCTGCTGGCTGCTATGGGCAACACTCAGAGGAAGGAGGCCGCCGATCCTCTGGCATCGAAACTTAACAAGGTGCACCATACTTAACCCCTAAAAGCTTTTCCATAAAAGTAAACTGGAAATTAATGTGAGAGATAATGTTGGAGTAGTGCTTTTGAACAGAAAAAGAGGGAAAGGGAATGATTATTGCTGTTTGCGTGCATTTCAAGTTTACGGCTTAGTCTAACTTATTTACTGTTCATATTATTTCATATTATTGGCAACACGGCAGCAACTGCTGCTGAAGCCCTTGTTGTGCACATGCTTTGCTTTTAATAGGTTATTAAAAGATAATAAACTAGTGTATAGGGAGTGTTTGTACTAGGTTGTTTATTAATCATTAAATGAATGCATTTTGTCCAACTTAGGTGACCCAGCTGACGGGCTTCTCAGATCCAGTCTATGCTGAAGCCTACGTTCATGTGAACCAGTATGACATTGTGTTGGATGTGCTGGTGGTCAATCAGACCAGTGATACTCTTCAGAACTGCACACTTGAGCTGGCCACTTTAGGTTAGTGTAGTTTTTTCAACCTCTGTGAAAAGATGTTTTTTCTCTCATTTAAGCTGCACACATTTGGGTTTCTACTATAATGTAATTCAACTTTCTGTCCTGCAGGCGATCTTAAGTTGGTTGAGAAGCCTTCACCTTTAACTCTGGCACCTCATGATTTTGCTAACATCAAGGCCAATGTGAAGGTGGCATCTACAGAGAATGGCATTATATTTGGAAACATCGGTAAAATAATTTTTGACTATTTTTAGCGTCACATCTCAAGTCACACCTTTTTTTCTTTTCTAAATGCATTTTTTTAAATTAATTGTGGGGATGTCTGGATTCTTCTTTTCAGTCTACGATGTGTCAGGAGCTGCTAGCGACAGAAACTGCGTTGTCCTCAGCGACATCCATATTGACATCATGGACTACATCCAGCCAGCCTCCTGCACTGATGCAGAATTCAGACAGATGTGGGCAGAGTTTGAGTGGGAAAACAAGGTAAACTTAAGGGGTTAAAACACATTCCTGAAAGCTGACTGGTTTTGCAAAAAGTTGGACATGTTAAAAGTTTTCTCTCTCATTCTCTCTCTCTTTTTTTAAATGGGTTTAGTTGATGTACATTCAACTAACACTGTGCACTGATTGTCCTTTCTTTATTGTAGGTGACAGTGAACACCAACATCACTGAGCTGAACGAGTATCTCCAGCATATCCTCAAGTCCACCAACATGAAGTGTTTGACTCCTGAAAAGGTTGGTATGAGAACATTTTGTAAACCACAGACTAAGGAAAGTAAACAACCTTTTAAATCTTGGCAGCTTTCCCAAATACAAATAACAAGGGTAATTAAAATTTTTGGCACCAGTGCACATCGGAAAGAATCATTAGCAGCCGTATAGCAGGATACTTTCTTGTGCTGACTATATAAAGAATATATGTAAACATAAGACATGCCAGTGCTTCCTTATAAGATGAATGTGCAGATACTGTGATGTTGTTTGTTGTTCTTAACCGACGTTCTTCTCTCATAAACAAGGCTCTGTCTGGCTTCTGTGGCTTCATGGCGGCCAACCTTTATGCTCGTTCTATCTTTGGAGAAGATGCCCTGGCTAATGTCAGCATTGAGAAGCCTTTCCATCTGGGGCCCGATGCACCTGTCAATGGACACATACGCATTAGAGCTAAAAGTCAGGTAGGTCACAGCTGCCACACCGTGAACTCTTAAGAATCTGAGAGGTAAAGGCTAGGTGGACTTTATTTCCCCTCAGTGAAGCAATGCATCCATTTGTAAAAATATCACATGACTGATTTGATTTGAAATAGCTGATCAGTTCTGCAAGTATTTGCACAGTGACACAGTTTTTGCCTCTCTAAAGTACCCCAAGTGTGGACTTTCATCCTTAAATGCACGCATTTAACAAAAAATTTGCATTTATTAATCTCCAAATGCAGATGGATTTCACTGAATTTCAGATATGCTAATGTGTAGCATGTGTCGCAGCTAACAGTCCTTCATTTGTTCCACAGGGGATGGCCCTGAGTCTGGGTGACAAGATCAACCTCTCCCAAAAAAAGGCAAATGTCTGAAACAGCTGCTGTTCTGTGTCACCTAACTTACTCTTTGATCATCGTCATAGCAGATATGAACTATTATATGGTCAGTTACTTCTGTGCTCTATATTTTTTAACATCACCTCTTTCTGAAAACTACATCTCAGCAATGTGCTTTCGCTGTCCTGTTTCATTTTCAATAAATGTATTGAAATAATGTCCAAAAGATGCTCTGTGGTGTTTTCATTGAGTTAAGAGCCTTTTTTTCTTATTAAAACCTCATTATTTTTAATCAGTGTTTCTTTTCTTTCTTTCTTTCTTTCTTTCTTTTTTTTTCAAAATAGTGCAATTTACAAATGAAACTTAAGACAGTATATGCAAAAGAAAGGGAATTCAAGTTCAATTCAGTAAGAAAAGGTTAAAAAAAATCCTCTAGTACCACCCAGAACCACTAAGGTTCATAATGAATTTGATATTCTTAAAGGTATAAGATGGAAAAACATCCAAACTAAACCAATGATCATTAAATAAGTGTTTGCACCCTTTTTGTAGGGTCAGTATAAGGCTTCCTGGGGTGACTGTTGATGAGATTTGGTGCTTTATAAATAAAATTGAATTGAATTTTGGAGATGGCAGGGTGGAGCAGTGGTTAGTAATAGGTTTGAATCAGCTGGCTGGAGCCTTTCATTGTAAAGTGTCTAGATTCTAAATTGGGCATAGGTGTGAGTGTGACTGGTTGTCTGCTTGTCCCTGTGTTATCCCTGTGACAGATTAGCAACCTGTGCAGGGTGCACCCCACCCACTGTGACAGCTGGGAGCATCTCCAGCACAACGGTAACCCAGAGATGTCGTTGGACTGTATGCCTTCTTTTGGAAAGTATGGAAAGTTGTGCTGTACCTGCCTTAATGTGCATGACAGTAGATGTTTAGTAATAATCTTTAAAGAAGCTGTTACAATTACCTAAAGGACGTTGTGCCCCAAAGTGAAGAGAGTGTCTAGCTTGTGATGGTAGCTCTGGGATCTAATTAGAATTCCTCAGATTCCTTCCGTAATATCTCCCACAGTGGGGTAACTGATTGGAATTTGTACCGCCAGTACCTCTAAACTGACGACATCACCTTGAAAATGTCTGTCTACATGCATAACCTGGGCAAGAACATAAATTCTTTTAACCTCAGGTAATATATTGCCAAGATTTGAATTGAACTCTCTGAGCCATCTGCAAGTTTCACTGTCAGCGTGATAATGAGATGGAGATAGATTAATGCTGGCACAGGCCTCCATATTCCACTCGCCCTCCAGTTTATTATTTATGAGTAAAGGGATATTTCTGGGAGTAGGCCAGATTAAAGGGTCACCACCCCAGTCATACATTTACAGTATCTGTAAAAATCTCCCCCCAGGGTTTTTAGATAAAGGCTGAAAGGTGGCGTTGAGGTCAGACCTTCAACTGTGAAAATAAACAGCCAACTCCAACTGCCGTGTGCACAGCACAGACTGTCTGGTTCGGGTATAGTTATTATGAGAATCACAGCTACACCTTCTAACACGAGGCATGACTTTAGCATTGTGCTTTTGGGTGATTTTCTTGCTTTGCCACATCAATATGTAGACACAAAGTGTTCATGCTAAACACAGGATCACTGTCACAATTCCTCCAAATTTTAAGAAGGTTTGGGTGATATAATATTTTGTATTTTAAAACCACTTGGGTACGACTGAAACTTTGACAGCACTCACCATGTAAACCATTTGGAGGAAGTCTTGATGCATGCTCAATCATCCAGGAAAGTAAATCTCCAAAAGTTGATTCTG